GAAGCCGTTATCTTGCAAAAGATCGACAATTTCAATAGCGTTGGCGTGCATTAAAGATGAAGTACCGAAGACATTCAAGAAAGCATAAATAGAATCACTGTATGCTGAGGACATCATAGAAATGAACTGAAATTCATCCAGGTTTTCGAAGAGTACGAATCGCATTCTAACATACTACACCGCGCTGACCATTCTGGCTGAAACTCGACTGGCGGTGAAGTAACTTACCTTTCATTCATATTAGGTAGATAAATGAGTACTACTATGGGGATAGAAAATACGAAACAAGTTGTCAATTGTCTTCGAAAAGCACCGTATTCATGGTCGTTGACATAATGACGGAGACCAGCGCTGTGCAAAGGGAGAATGTTAAAATTATGAAAGTGTAAGAGAACATCCTATTGGTTATAATCTTTCATTCTCCTCAACGCTACCTCTAAAGCTCACCTCCAAAGATAACTGCTTACATCTGCCGACGCTAATCATGACGTTGTTAATTAGATGGAGTACAAAAGTGCTTGCATGACCACTAATATCCTACTCAAGGAAGCACAAACCCTCTATTCAGACTTCCAATCTTCGTCAGTATTCTTCGTAAGAAACCAGAACCAACAATGTGCTGGCTTGCATTCCTGAACAGAGCTTCACAGTCATTCACTGATTCCAATGTCAGCTGATATACTCAGAATTAAGAGGCACAGAGGAACGGCGGTGGCGTCTACGGAAAACCTTGTTGAGTGTAACAGAGTGGTTCAGACGTATCTTACGTTATTTTTCTTCTTGGTCCATTTTGGCCTGCTCTAGTCAACATCTGCCTCTTTCAAAGAAAATTGTTTGCCTGCTCTGCATATTTAGCTTTTTTTTCTGAAAGTGTCTTTATGACTAATCAAATGGCAACTATTAACTAAGTAACACGTAAAGTGCGTTAGTGAATGTTAGATTAGTAACAGTATCGCATGCCATCATGGTGAAAAAAAACATCCAAAATCAAGTAAGCAAAATTAAAATTGCAAAAACTGCAAGTCAATGTTATGTCTATAGCCAATTTTGAGACTATAAACTGTTGCAGGCAAGGACAAAAGACAATGTTAACAAAAATGCCAGAACTATTTACTACAACCTATTATAAACGAACATTAGTTTCTCCAAACCGAACGGAAACCTAATACTTAAAATTTTTAAAAAATCTATCCGGATTCTTTCTTTTCTAAGCGTTTCTTTTCCTCGTCGCAGCGCTTCTGCTTTCCGTGCAATATATTTTCAACAATGCGTCGAGTGTCACCCTCTGGCCGAATTTTCTTGTGTTCTACTTGCTCAATCTTTGACCTATTTTTGCCAGAACCGCTGCCGGTTTTCACATGTTTGTCCAGGTCGGTACTGCCACTTTCAATATGCTGCGCCAACTCCTCCGCGTTCGACATCGATTTCCAGTGAATAAGTCTAAATAGAGGTATAAGGCACATTTATGTTTTGTCATAATGCTTTTCATATTGATGATAAACCAGTGCCTGAAACTGAACTTAAGGCAAAACTTTACTGCTACGTTCCGAAGTTTGGAGAAGCTGTAGACTGAATGAACTCCATAAGCAAACCAACCTCTACGTTCATAAGAAGGAGCATGACAGTAAAAACTCACAAATTGAGAATTAGCTTACTTGCCGCATATAAACATGCAACTATTTGTCACCGAACAAACACTTCATGCAAAATTACACCCGCCACCTTAAACAGATTGATCCTCCTCCCCTTACGAGTAGTAAAATCAAGATTTCAAACGTCCCGCTAGAAATACTATTACTGTGCTTAAAACAGTAAGCGGTGTGAAAACTACTTTTCACTGATATAACAACTACTCATGTTGCAGTTAAAATGAAAATCATAATAACGCTGTTTGAAACTGATTCGCTGTTCAGTCGAAATCGGTGCCTTTTGCTATGACACCCATTATAACGGCTAGAGCCGCCTCAATAACACTCTGGGCGGTGAAACAAATATTCAGAAATGCATCTTAGTACGTTACTTTCAGGCAAGAAGTATCATGCTTTTATACGAAACTTTTTATATATGCCCACAGTAATGCTAAAAGTACCAGTAGACGTGCCTAGAAAAAGCATTCAGGAAATCTAGGCGGAGGGTTTTCATCAAAGTTGACAAATTCATAATGAATTTAGACAAATAGCTCGTTTGATGTTCAAATAGTCGGGCATGGAATCAGGACTAGCGCGATCACTGCTGAATCTGGAACAAGATCAACAACGATATTCCATCTTGAGGTAACGAATTAACTGTAGGATAGGTCAAAACTTATGCAGCTATCTTATGTGAAAGAAGGCACAAAGCCTTCAATGTTACCTTATTTTTGACTTAGTGACGGCGCCGCGGGGTTTGAAAATGGTCCAACATTGTCCATTATTCAAGAGGTTTGAAAGGGAGAGGCGCCATCAATCCTCGTCGATTCACTCTTGAATAAATGTCTCCCTAAAGGACTCGCCATAGACTTCTGCTTTTTGCACTTATCCATCTTATCCATCTTGATCAACAAACTTTTTCAGTTCATCCTGCCATCAATCTGGAGGTCTTCAACTGAACCGTTTATACTCTCTTGTAACCCATTTTAATGTCTCGCTGTCCCAGCGATGGTTGGTTCTTCTTGAAAAGTGCCCCATCCATTGCCACTATAACTTCTTTGGTCCGGCAATGACATCACAGACTTGACTCCTGTTTGAGCTTTTATCCATGCATTCTTCTTCCTATTGATGTCCCAAAATAGATCTTTCTATGCTGTATGGCGTCGTCTGCAAGTTATGAGTAATCTTCAGGCCCAGGATCCACGTTTCGCATCAACAGGTTTGCAATTAGAACAGACATTGATCGAAAACTTCCCGTTTCGAACGCAAGGGTAGTTCCCCGGATAAGAACCATTTCAGACTTCGAAGTATGCCATTTTTGTTCTTCTACTCTTCAGAGTCGGTTCTCCCTTGCAGGGATGACCCAGACAGATACCGTTTCGCGCTTCTTCAAGTGTAAGTCTGTTGACGTGGAGTCACGTATTTGTTAAACATGGCCTAAGTTGTCATGGCCTATTCTTCAAGTTATTTTGTTGTCCTACTTTGAAGCTGGCGTCGTTCAACTTTTAGATTCTTCTTCAAAATTCATCAGGTGACCTTGAGAAGATCAGAATATCGTACACAAACAAAAGATGGCTTAAGTAGTGCCCA